AATTAATCTAGAATATGAGTGGCGCGGCCATTGCAGTTCTTGTTGGGACCTTCAAACTAGTGTTATTGTAAACGGAATACCTGCTAAAAGGTATTGCTCAGGTGAACCATGCCGTCGGATAAGTGTCAGCTCTTTTTGAAGGGTGTCTGTGGATGGAGTGCACGCATGTGATACCTACGTGTTCCATGCCAGAAAGCATATCGTCTGCTGCAATAAAATACAATTATTTGTCACTTATCCGACAACGATTGCTGACGATTCCGGCGATATCATGAGTTGTGAGGACGTAATATTCCGAAAATTCCCCCTTATAATAAGAACACAGATGGGTTGACAAACGTTTTCGACAGGGTCTTTTTAAGTCATACAATTGCAAAGGCTAAGAGAGCAGTATTTAACATATCTGAATGAGGATGTTGTAAATGGACAGGGAATCGAGTGAGATGACATTGCCTACCCATCAAAGAACAATTAGTTTAGGTCACCAATAGGATGGAGCTAGTCAGCTCAGGGGGGTTGTAGTTGTGTGTTCAGCACACGGCGCATGTGTTAGGGGAGGTGAGTTGGACCATGGTAAGTACAACACACGAACAAAGCGTTTTTGCCGACAAAGGATCGGGTCGCGGTGTCGTATGGCAATAGCGTCAACCACTGCAACTGTGCGCTGCTGCACTGATCTGGGTTGATAAGCCGGCGTCTTGTAAACAACGCGCACCTTACAAAATTCACCAGCTAAAAATACCAAACTTCATACGACGGCGTTCAAAACTTTAGTTGGGCCCCGCAGGTGCCAAACTACTGTTTGGTTGGTTATCAGGCAATATCAAGTAATCTCGGCCACCTTATGTTTGTTTGAGAAATGGTTCTTGTGTCGTCTTAGACAAAATCTCATTAAACAACCGGTGATTTGTATACTGCTTGTCATAAGCAAACTTTCCCAAGCTACTAGCTTCTTCGGATTACCCAAATACCACTGGTTTTGTCGGCATCCTGCTGCACCTGTGGTCCACCCACTCGTACACCCGAACAAAACAGCACTACTTCTCGTCTCAACCACTGCAAGCACAAATATCACACAAATACAACGAACTCAACCGGAAAGCATCCAAGTTCTCATTAGACATATGTGAAGCCAGGCTATTGCTAATACAAAGGTAAACGCTCGATAGGAATAAATATGGAGATCCGTTGAAACACTCTAACAAAAGCGAGCTACGTTGTGGTGGCTTTTTGTTCGAGCAGATGCAGCAGAATGCGACGCTTTTCACAAAATTTTCGTTCAAGATAAAAGGCTTTGATAGTAGTTGCATTTTCTGGAAAAGGGTTAGTTTGACGTAGCGGAGAAGGTGCCAGAATTCAACGGATATTATTATTCCCTGCGTTTCATTTGAGAGGAACTCCAATTAGTGGTCTTCATGAGGTCAGTCTGAAAGGGAGCTGTTTGACGTCGGCGGCGATCGATTTAGTTTTGAGGAAGAGTTCGGGCTCCAGGATGAGACATCCTCTGATGTCTACGCTTCGCCACTACAAATGTGATTGGCCATAATGAAGACAGTACAGAGTGATTGCAAGCTCTATTTTGCAAACGAAACATGGTTGTTTGACAGATGGCATGTACGGCGGTGATTTTCTTGTCGTGTTAGCTCTCTTGGTCAATATATATTCAGCTCCGCTTTTTCGTAAGACGCAGACTTGTATGAAGGAGTCGTGCCTTAACCGATGGCATCGCGCAATTACATGTGCACCCGCTCTAAATTGGACCCAATTTCCATTCACCGTGTGCGAGACAAATTGGTGGTGAGCAAGTTTCAGGGAAATTCGCAATAGATACAAATAACAGCTTAAGTATCAGAATCGCATTGTAAAAGGAGACTGGGTATCTTTATTGATTCCGCTGCTGGAGCCGATTTGGCCGCATAGTTCTTTGGAAAATTTGGCTAGCGTTACAGCACAAAACGGAGCGCAGACGGCAAAGAATATCGTTAACTCCGTAAGGAGGGCAAACTGGGAGTGCAACGAGGTGCTCAACTCCGAAGGCAGGGTGGAGTGGATTAGAATACACTTGTCGCAAATGAAATGAGGCCCGTGTATGCAGTCTGATTGTAGCTTTCGCTGGGGTTTCTGGAGAGCAAGAGTAGATAGTTCAAAATATGAATAGGATAGATGCGAATGTACCGTACCAGCAGAAATCTTCGGTAAATCGCGGTGGATATCCCCGTCTACATAGATTTGCGCTGTGTTTAATTTGACGTTTCGATAAAGTTCTTTTTCTGACCGTTTGATTGCGAGCAGTACGTTGACGAATAAAGGTGTGTTAGCAGTAACCTGGCAGAATCCTCGAAGGCGGCTGTGGCCGAATTCTGGTCCACTAAAGTCCCCGGAAGGCCTTGATGTTTGAAGACCTGAAGAAGAGTTGGCTTTGTGTTAGTTGTCGTTGGTGGGACCAAAAGGCACAACTTTTAGCCACCTTCAGAAAACATCGACCAAGATGAAAACAAAGTGCAAAGCAAAATGCAGCAAACAAAGAACAAAATAGATGCCTCGCAAAACCCCAACTGAAACCAAGACGAGATAGCTTGTACCGTTAATAGCGCCAACGTATTCAACACGCACTCATTTAGTTCGAGATAATGCAGAAATCACGGGGTAATTCTTGCGGCTTGTTAACATTGCAAGCAGTTTCTGACATGATCTGAGATTTTGCGGTCCATGTGCAGCTTGTCAGCATAACTACAGTTGAGCGCTTGCATCCATTTTGTCTCAAAACTTCCCACGTTAAACTGCTTTAATAACCAAAGCGTAGTTGGTACGTCACCATAACATGGTTTCCAGAAGTGGGACATTCTATCACGGCGGATATGTATCACGAAGATGAGAAGAGGTTGAAGATTATTGTCCAATAATTATGCCGGTCACTGCCCCGCGAAAAATTGAATCGCCTGTCGCAGTGTCGCAATGTTGGACATAGTTCAAGGCTGGATATCCTGCTCAGGCACCGATAGGGCTCGGATCATTTTGCACAGCGTAACATTCAATGGACACAGCATCGATGATGGGGTCCACTTAAAGGGCAGTATGATTGCAGATCAGACGTGAGAGAACATCCGCCTCGCCTAAGCTTTCTATGAGGCGAAATCAGATGTGGAAATCGTAGCCGAGTGAGGTGAGTATTCATCGCTGCAGACCACTCACCAACTAAGCGGGTACGCCAGTTCATGCGCCAAAAATAAGCGGTACGTAATATTATCAGTAGATAGCGCGCATCGATGGTCGTGTATCATCGTATGGAAGCGGCGGACGGTTAAGTCTTTCAGCAACTCCTCTTTTCATTTTGACCACGGCGATGTTCCTCTGGGGTTGACGACTTGGATGCGTGCATGGTCTTTTTATCGGTTTTCTTCGGAAATACATGTAAAATGGCGGCGCCGAAGTCGTCGGGGTAATCATCAGGTGATACTGTAATCTACAGGTTAGGATCACACTGAGTCATTAGCAGTTCGGAGTTAAGTATGGATTTCAACTAACAAATCGGCTTTGCCTTGTTCCGCCCATACCCAAGGCACACTCTTTTTAGAAGGCAGCTAGGCGAAAATCGGACACTGCAGCGAAGATGGGAATGCTGTATAACAGTCAATGGGACCAAAGAAGAGGTGTAGCTTAGTAACGGCCATGGGAGGCAGTATCATCTGTCGAACTGCTTGCAGGTTACCGGGATCCTTGTGTAGATTTACCTGAGGTACCAAATGGTCATCACGAAGAACGGACACTTGAAGATTGAAACGAAGACCATTTTCCCAAGTGTGTTGAGGGACCACATCGATGAGCGTGCGCTGTTCATCGGGAAAGCTGGTGAGCAATACCACGTTCAGATATGCGGTCACACCTGGGATGCGTAAGAGGATTGGGCCCATAAGGTGATAAAAAGTTTCAAAGGCTATCTTACCGCAAAACCGTAAGGGTTCGTGTGCATATCCTCCTGCTTGTGTTGATGGTCAGTATATTTCGACACCACGACGCAACCTCACCCTGAATGTAATATTTGGTCAAATTGAGTTCGGTAGAGCAGACGCCACTGTTCATGATGGTTAACAGGCCATCTGGAATCGGCAGTAAGTAGGGGTGCTGCTCAAAAGCTGCGATCGGGCCGGTCGGAAAGTCAGCACAAATGTGGAATGACACATTTGGCTTCTTCACCAAAACGACTGCAGCTGCCTTAGAAAAGTACACGGGACAGAATGTCCCCCCTATTTGTTCGAGAGGTTCGGGACTCCGCGTTGACCCGTGAACAGGAGGCGTACTGGACCAGCCGCTCAGGGGCAAAATAATTGGGAAGGTTTCGGTCAACGTTCGATGAGGCCAGGCTGTAATAAACTAGCGAATCGCCAAATGTTAAATAACATGACCTTGTGAGTACCTTTCCATTCGACACACCGCAGCGTTTCATTTCACCGAAAAGCCGTAGCTCACCAAAACATTCAACGATTGCAGTCCAGAGAACGGAGAGCTGGAGGTCACCTAAGTTTGCATCAAAGACTCACAGACCTAGCAGTGATCCCCTAGAAGTATCCAGCCAAAGGCGAACGGGGTGGCCACCAACCAGGACAGTGAAAAATATCGGTAAATATTCCGAGCATTTATTTGAAATTTTACAAGATAAATTTTGCAATTACAAGACTGTTGAGATTCCCGATGTGAAAATTTAATGGATGCGTAAGCTCGAATGACTCAATCATCAAGCAGGAGTATCGGACTCGTAATTCAACGAAACTATTTCCACAAGGGCAAGCAAATATGTACAGTGAACGTCAGCTTGCGCACATCAAACAACGCCGGGCCGGATGTTGGCTCAGTAGTGTGGGTTTAGATCATCTATTTCGACGACAGTCTTGCGATTCTCACTGGTCTTGCGATTACGCGGAAGTCATGAAACTCCAAGTCAGCGTATTTCCAGCGAACGGCACACGAACGCGCATTAATATTTAGGTCGGCCTTGCATATTTATGCACATACACGTCGATGCAAAAATATCGGACGGTACCATCTCAGCTGCAAGGTGAGCGGCAACTCAAAACATTTGGGGATCAAAAGTATATAAGCAGAATAAAAATGTTGAATGGGGGGAATATTATGGGGACAAGCTATATTCAACACAATCTTGGGGCGGAGTTATTCGTTCTGCAACTCGGGAGGCATGGTCGCTACATGCAGACACCGTGAGGTCTAGTGCTTGAGCCTGCCCGAGGGGATCCCACGACCTTGAAAAGCCGACAACGGTTCTGCTTGTAAGAGCGTGGTCCGAAGAAGTGCCAAACCCCGCAGCGACGGAATGACGATCAGGCTTCTTTTGGATTTGTCGCTAACTTCATTATGTTGCCCCAGAATTTGAGGGGTTAGGAATTGGAAAACTGAAAGTTTTAGAACTGCTGGAAAGATTTCTGGGAATCCCAACTTTACTTTTTTTCAAAACGTTGACTACGGGGGATACAGAAAATGAGCTGGCATTTCCTAAAATGCGGAAACGCTGTAAATCAGAAATCCGCCAATGGAACATACGAAAACAAGCCACTCTACTAGAGTTTGCTCTAAAAAACAAAATCGAATTGTTCAACTACTTGAGACAACGTCGCAGAAGCAATCCATCCGCGTTCTCCTTGAGGGACAGAAACGGGTATCCGACGATTGGCCCAACAGTGGTATCCGAGGTTTACAGAGAACAGTGCGCGTGTCTATACTCAGCACCAGCATCTTTGTCACATCCACTGTCGTCAGGGCGGAACTACGAACAGCCTCTAACAGACATGGTCTTCACGGTGGAGGATATTTGTCAACTCCTGCACAAGATCTACCCATTCTACGCGTTGAGGTCCGACGAGGTCCATCCAAGGATCCTGAAGGAAACGTCCTCCACACTGACAAACCATTTACACATGGTGTTTCGTCAGTCGCTTGACGAAGACCGCCTTCCCTCTGCTTAGAATGAAGCGATTGTCACGCCAATCTACAAAACTGGTGACCGAGTATCACCTGTTAGCCACAGGCCTATAAGCCTCACCAGCAAGCTTTGCAAGATGATGGAATGCTTTCTGAAGCGAGCTATTCTAGATCACCTCACTTCCAGCAATCTGATATCTCCAGCCCAACACGGATTTCTCACAAACCGCACTTGCGTAACGAACATGCTCGTAAATATGGACAGCTTAACTCAAGCCAAGGACGAAGGACTCATATCGGATGCCATATTTTTCGACTTTTCAAAAGCATTTGATAGGATCCCACACGTCCCGCTGCTCCACAAACTCGAGTCTCACGGGATTCAAGGGAAAATCCTTCGCTGTATCAAGGCACTCCTCTCAGACAGGTCATTCCGAGTGAGAATAGGCTCAGCCTACGCCTCTTCAGCGCCGGTCTCCATTGGAGTTCCTCAAGGTTCCGTCTTGGGACCACTCCTGTTTCTGATCTACGTCAACGACCTCCCAGACGTTCTTGCGAGTCCATGTCTACTTTTTGCGGACGACTTTAAATCCTGGAGTTCCAATGCCAGTGCCTCCCAAATGGATATAGACGCTGCCAAGCAGTGGTCGTTGGACTGGCACGCTCCTCCGAATGATGAAAAGTGCGTCCATATGTCGTTTGGAGGGGATTCAGCGAATGACTTTGTTATGCATGGTGAAAAGGGACCATAAAACCTCCTGAGGATAGATGCCAAAAAGGATTTGGGCATTTGGGTCTCCTCAAACTTGTCCTTCTCACTGCACCATGAGAAATCGGCCCGAAAGGCATTCGCCATTTCGTGGATGATCCGACGCACCTTCTCCCGTATTACTCGCATGGACTTCCATATACTCTATGGGGCCTATGTCAGACCGCTCCTGGAATACGCCAACCAAGTTGTCTACTCAGGACGTACGAAAGACGTCACTCTCATTGAGCGTGTCCAGCGGGCCGCTACGCGAATGGTTGCCGGCCTCAAATCCGTGGACTACGAAACGCGTCTCGCGATGCTTGATCTCTTTCCCCTGGAGTACCGTCGCCTCCGAGGGGACCTAATTCTGACTTACGCCCCGTTTGAACAAGGCTTGAAAAACAGGTTTTTCAACGTTGACCCAGCAAACACACGGCGGGGGCTTAGTGAGAAATTTTTCAAGCTCAGAGCACACCTATTCATTAGACAAATTTTTTCCTCATTTCGGGTAGTAGCTGCGTGGAATGACCTTCCTCAGACGGTTGTCCACGCTCCTACTAGAACCCAGTTTAAAGCACTGTTGGACATTTATTTATGTGATTCCTCGCGCTGGCAAGCATGCTGCCCCGCGCTGAGAACATAAAGAACAGTGCTACACCCTTTTTTCACTTGTGTCTTTCAGGTGAACGACAGCCACTGACCGACAAGAACAAAACCGACCCGGGAAACTTGGGCAAAGTTTCGATCCTGTGTATCAATCCCTGAATCCTTGAAAACCGAGATCTGATTGGTCGAAAGTCTGGACCCAACAGCCAATCATGACCAAGTGTTGGCCGACTGCCGGTTGCCAATGCCGCACCCAGAACGCTTCAGAAAGTTATGGCCGCTTGTGCTGTATATATGAAGCACTGTGCAAGTGTTCCTGACTTCGTTTTGGACGTTGATTTACCTTGTGCAACATTGGTGGTTGTTTTGACGTGAACGCCAGCTTGGAAGGCTCAGACCGGGAACTAGGCTGAGAAAAAATACACCTGGGCTGAGAGACTGCTAGCGCGCTAGCACCTAGGCAAGCGGACTATTAAGGTGGTCGACCAATTGTGGGTGGACAAGTAGTCTAAAGTACCACAAGAAATTCGAAGTAGTCGTTTACCTGATAATGGAACCATGCCAGGTGGAGCACATTACTCACACAGTCTCGTAAGATTAGATTCGACTCGTGGAATCCACTCCGTCGAAAGCAAACTAGGGTTTATGTTTGGAAATATCTCATCATCCGGGTAACCAGTGCTGAGACTAGGCATGAGTGCCAGGTGGGCAAACTGAAAAGGCCTTCAAAGCCTAGCTGGGTTATATTATTTTATATTATTACCCTTTTTTGGGTATTATTTCCTCAACTTACCTGGGGGTGCTTGTGTGGGGCACTTAAGCGGTTGTTGTGTAGTGTACCTTGCAGTAATCCTCGAGAATATGCGCGTTGCTGTTTTTTTCCGCCGTCTGCTAACTGATTTGCTGGGTGGATGATCATTGTGTTTCTTAGCGGAACACACTATTCATAAAGCTGCTGAAGAGTTTTCGACAATTTCACGGTTCTTGTGGTTTTTCGGTGGAGGGGGGAATGAAGCCCCGCGTTTTAATTATTGTTCTGCTTTGACATCATGCACATAGTCGGTGAAGTGCAACCATTTACATCCTGACGTTCCCTTTCATACGGAACGTAGAATGTCGTTCACCCATTTTTATGTATGCTCTGCCGACACCAGCGCGCCACCAAGTTCCTCTTCACAGCCATACTCGATAGGCTTTCTGTTACATAGACTAGATGCCGTTACAGGCGTCAGTTCCTCTTCACTCCGGAACACACCCAACTTAACACACCGAATTGAAGTAAAACACTAACCTACCTTGAGGTTCCTCTCATCATCATTGACAACAACACTAGAGATCGACACTGGTGCTTCAGCCCTGCATAAAGTTTTTTGTCGGTTCGCATGCTTTTTATGCTATTTTATTTGGGTCTGTGGACATGAGTTCCTCCTCTCTTAGTTCACTTGTACCGTAACAATAGTTTAACCTAAACGGCTTGAATTCATCTTACGTCGCCCAAACGGGGGTTTCCAACTCCAAAAGTAACTTGACAGACAACATGATATTGTCAAATGAATGAAGGGAACTGTTTACACATAACCACCAACGATCCACTGATTATGTTCAGTCTTACCTGTGTATTTCTGAGTGGACAATGCCATTTTGTTAATCCTTGTAGCAGCTTCTTGCTTCATAGCTCTAGGTGCAATTGTAAAACGCAACTAAGAATTCGTCTCTACTTAGTTCGATTGTGAACTCTCTCCTCCAATTTCTATACAGGAAGCACCAGTAAATCATCGAAGCACGACTCAAGTTGGAAGGCTTTCTGTTCTTGAGCTAGTGTCTCACTATTCGAGCTATATCCAACTCAGGCTGCATGTTGCGAATTCAGTTCTCTATACTTGTGTTTCCAGTTTCAGTCATATCACAACGTGTGGATCCTGAACCTTTAATGGATCTTACCGCCGATTGTGACCTGGCTGTCAAGTTGAAGCATTTCATTTCATGTGACCCCCTCAAGTTGGATGAAGGTGTTCCAGCATTTTTAATCGATTTACACAACATCATCCATGACCTGGACAGACATCAATGGTTACCGGAGCTTTTGGATTGTGAAAGATTTGTCGAATTTTACGAAAAGCATATAAAATCTGTTATCAAGGAAGATCCAACTGGATATCATTCAAATACTAGCCTAACCGTCGAAATAAATTTTCTTGTTCAGAGCATCACGCAAATCCGAAGCACGTTTTGTTCTAAATTAGCGTCGAGGCAAATACCACACTGGTTATTCCAACTGATCAAACTCCCAAGAAACAATCCATGCATCTGTCTACTTCAAAAACAGGCTCGTCTTCTGACAAATTACAGTTTACGAATCTTGCTGAATATCCTACGGCACTACCCGAGCATGAGAACTTCATACAAAAAGTCTGGTGGTGTTAGGACGCTTCTGTCTTTCCTGAGTGTCTGGAGCGTGGACGGAAACCAACGCATCAATGTTCGAGCCGCAAGTTCCTATATGCCTGTGCGCGTAACCGCCCTACTCTTGTTGTCTATATTGGTGAACGAAGATGAAAATGAGGAGTTGCACCGGAATGATTCCTACATCAGTGTTCTTATTAGAGCTTTGAATGATTCTTTGAATTTGCACCACAAGCCCCCCCTCTATTCTCCCTCTAACGAGCGTGCAGCAGATGAGCTATTGGTGGGTTTGAAGAATATTGCTGGTTTGGAAACAAATAAGAAATGGTTGGTGGGTTGCGGCGCGGTGGATGTATTGAAACTCGCTTTGGATATCGCATTTGAGCTCAAATCTTCAGTGCCAAACCCCACGACCTGCACTGGCTCAGACGTTCTGGCAGAATTGGCTCTGGAGTGTTTGTGGTCTCTAGCGTTCGAACCACAAGTTTATACTCGTCTGGCGCACGATCTGGACTTATCACAGCGACTGAATCGGTTTTATGATGACCATCTGTGGTCTTATGATTGCTGCCGAACTTCCCGAAATATTATGCATTTCTTGACAGACCCACGATTGCTATCTACCTCGTGGACCGCTGGTGAGCGAGTGCGTGACGATGGTCACTCGCAGGCAGGTCAATTGGTAGTTGTTTACGAAAAAGGTAGAAGGCGAACCATGTTAAAATTGCGAAATCAGCTGGACCGGGCAGGATATTTGGTATGGATGGACTTCGAAAATACGTGTGAGCAAATTTTCGCATCTACATTTTTCCTTAGTGTGTTTCTGATTGAGTCGTTAAATATTAGTCGCAACGCGCATTTAATTTTTACTATTCAGGCTGCTTGTGTATGCAGTGGATTTCAAACTGATACGCGTTGCATGCCCCCCATAAGCCTGAGTTATCCCAGGAACTGTGAAGCTAGACGCTAACCAATAGATTATTGGTTTTAACCCGTCGTGCACTTCTTCAGTCTTGCTGCTCCCTGTTCAGGTTTCCCATATTATAAGCTAATCCCACTTACACTATTATGTGCTATCTCTGTTTTAATCAGTTCCCAGGGATAGTTTGTTGATGAGATCCCTCTGCTTCCGTTTAAAGTGATCAACCCTGGGTGGGGTATTATTTATCATTCTCCCATTCGGGTAATATTTTGAGACTTGTGACTTCCTTGAGTACGAATATCTTTGTGATGGTGCTTGGTACAAGAAGATGACGTGTGTCCCCCTTTAGAATGGAGATTTAGTTCGAGATGTTGCCCAGTGGCCGTAATTGGAAATTCAGGTTGGTTCATCCTTAAGCCGCCAACACCTACATAGCTTTTGTTGTAAGGTCTGGTTTGCGGCGCGGGAGCTTTGGTGACCCATCCGAAGATAAAAAGGAATCATTTCACCTTCACATGGGGAGAGTCCGTATGCTGAGGACGAAGTCTTCTATTCAACACCGATATTCTGAGCCTTTTAGTGATATTTTTGGTAGGTTATCCTGTGGTATCTGATTAGGTATATCTCCTAACCTCATTCTATTACTGGCAAATTCATCCCTGTGTGACTGGTGTTATAATCTGAGCTGGCTGGCGGAGGGTGCAAAATATTTTAGGTGTTGGTTGTTGCGGTATATTGTGAAATGCACATTCACACCACTCTCGTTTGAACCATCGTCCTCGTGTTCTGGCTCAAACATTCTGTTGAGTCCACACCAAAGGGGTGGAGCACTGCACTCAGGTTTCGCTCTTATGGTAGCTCATCAGCAGTGCATATCTAAGGCTGTGCCGGGATCGTTCAGCTGTAGCACCCTTTCAGTGCCTAACTGCTATGCCTACCAGAAGGCTGCACGAGGACTGGGATACTGCCAGGTTGCCGAAGCCTAGACAGGGAAGTCGAGAGGCAGAGGTCGAGTTCGAACCACGAACCTTCTGGTCAGTGAATTCGCGCTCTAACCACTTGGGCCATTTTGCCCCTGGTATTTGATAGAGAAGTCGTAGCTCAAAGGCATTGTAGCCCAACGTTTCAAGCGGTTCTCTGTGTAAACAGGGATGTTTTCCTTCGATCCGAAAACGCAGAGAAACAGATTATGGCCAATGATGAGTGAAAAATGAGCATTTTATAAAACACTTTATAAATTTTCTTACTGGTGATGCTTATCGCTAAAGCTTCTTTTATCGATCTGGCTATAATTGCACTCGGTACCTGCTAGGGATCTGGCTGCGTGAGTAATTGCTTTTTCCCTTCTGCCAAGGAAAACATGAGGGATGACAGATCCGGCAGCTTAGTTAGATGCGTCTGAAACAACAGCAATGTCAAGTACTGGATTGTAACGTGTCAGTAGCAGATCAGAGCTGACTAGTGGCTTTACTTTGTTAAAAGCGAACTGGCACTCATGTAACCAGTTCCAAAACACATCCTTCTTTAAAAGATGTTTTAGTGGTTCATAGACACGATGCACGTTCGGCAAAAGTGAACTGAAATGGTTTACCAAACCAAGGAAGCAGTGCAAGGTTGCTAAATACATCGGTGTTGGCATTTATTGTATGGCAGAAATATTTTTGTGGGTCTGGATGATGACCATGTTCGTCAAAAACAAATCCAAAATATTTGCTGGGTGTGGGAAAAATGCACCTTTATCTGCTTGTAGATGAAAGCCATATTGTTGAATTCATTCGAGTACACAATGGGAACGGTTCAAAAGTTCTTGACTAGAACGTGTGAGGATAATGTCATTCAAACAAACAGCAGCTCCTGACTAACCGTTTAGCATGGCATCCATCATTTGTTGAAATATTTCTTATGCAGATTACACCCCGAATGACAAACGGCTCAGTTGAAACAAACCGCGATTGGTATTAATTGTCTAAAGTTCTTTGGAGGCAAGCATCAGTGAGACCCAGCTTTGCGAAACACCACCGGTAATGGATATTGGTGAGAGTCTAACACAGCGCTTAATCCAATGGAATAATCAGCACCTATGCGCACCTTGCCATTTGCTTTTTTGATGGCAACCATAGGACTCATCCATGATGAATAGATTACTAGATGGATAGATCCGGACTGCTGGAAACGAACAGTTGCGGCAAGACGAACAGAGTGGGAAACGATACGGAACTCGTCGGTCTAAAAATTGGTCTGGAATCTGGTTGGAATTGCCTTGGTTTTGATACAGCATCCAAGGCCACCTTGGCTGACATCATCGAATGTTGTCTTGGGTATGTTAGTAAAATGTTCTGAGGTGGGGGGGGGGTGAAAATTTCAGAGCACAGTACACCGATGATAAAATTATATTGAAAAATCAAGTTTATCAATCCAATCAAGTCCAATAATGTTCAAATTAGGACAGTCAGTGAGATAACAAGTCCTTGGGTAACGCAAATTGTTGAATGATACATCACAGACTAACTTGTTAATCAGTGATAAGATATTGCTAGATCGAATTTGAACCCGATGATTTGTGATACAACGGATTTTCCTATAAACTGTCAACTGGAACCTGAGATCAACGTGCACACTGCCGATCACCTGTGACAGTCTTATTTAATTCCAAAAAATCCTTCCAATCCGTAGGAATATTGACTAACGGGGACTGCCATTGAATACTATTCGTGCTATTCAATCCTATACCTCTAATCAAATGAGGATTTACAATGAGCCATCTAAAGGTTTCTCTGCAACCGGTAAGGTTCACTAGGTTGTCTCTTCATTTTTATTCCACTCAGTTTTTGACGACATTGTGGAGTGCACCCTCCAAAAAAACTCGAATCTGTATATCGGAATCACTTCTGGAGGAAGGTTAGTTGACTTGAACTAAGCGGATGACGTTGTTCTTGACAGTAATGCGTCCGCGTGAACCTTAAAAAGGATATTTCACTTCGCAAAGCTTTATGTCTTCAAAATGTAGAGTCTTACCTAAAGGTTTCCCGCTTTCCTGCATTCCTTTGAACTTCAGTTTATTGATAGGTTTACTTGGGTTTACAGCTACCCTAGCCCTGACTGTACATGAAGTCAGTACACCTATTATAAAAGCACGGCAATATTCGTCAACTGGTATTGTTTTTGGCGTTGCCTTTGAATTCACATGAATATTACTGTGAGGTCATGATATGCCAACGCGAAACCTGAGCGGTTAACAGTTTGAGCGCTGCGGATCTTCGGACATTCCTGGCGTCGTCCTCCATTGCGTACCCGTAATCCGCGCTCCTAACAGGAGAGTGCTGCGCTGTTAAATCGCCGATAGACTCCCAGTATCTGACCAAATGTCTCCGTTTCACTAGGTGAAGCATATTCCTTGGCAGCTGGGCGTGCCGCGTATGCTTGGCGCGGTGTTCATTCAGCCATCATAACACATGTAAGCTAGGAACCCAGCAGATCGCCTCAGTTGGTTCCGGTGATGCCAATGGGTTCTATTCATATGGTCATCAGTGTTGAATAAGCCAACCAAACGGACTACAACCTGTTGTTGGCTATCTTCGAATCTCCAGTTGCCATGCCGCTCCATGCTACTAATCGCCTGCAATGCTGGGATACTATGCTCCTGGGGTATGTTTTTAGCGTAACTTACAAGACACAGTAACTGCATCATTTTCAAATGATAGCGGAATCCAACCATTTTCCCGTATCCGTTCATGATTTTCATTTGGTCTTGTAAGGCCACTGACGTCCATGATTTTGATGTCTCCAGTCTCGCTTACTACGCAAAGGATTACGCGAAGAGCTTGTACATCCAGATCACTAAACTGTCGGCCTACTATACTTTTCCATCATTGATGCTGAAATAAGTTACCTATCGCTTTCATAATTGTTTTCATTTGTGTTTTTCCCCAGACAGGCACCGTAGATGTCGTGGCGCGGGCCATTTCTCGGGCGTCTGGATTAATACTTGGCTTATCACACGCCTTCAAACTCTCTCCTTACTGTCGGTACTTGACGCAGTATGCTCACAGTTTGGGTCTCCAACCATTCCCTGTCCATTTGGAACCTGATTATAAACCGGATGGCTGGCTCGGACTTTATACAGCTACCTTCATCTACATACAGTTAACGGACGATAGCATGCTTTCTCAAGCCGTTTCACAGCTGGTGTCTCAACTAGGCAACGTGGGTCTTCGACGTTCCTGTCCTCGTTCGGCACCTGTTTCACCTTTGTCCAGGCACTTTTCTAAAGAACGCACCCAACCTATTAAACCAGCTCAATCGTCTTCATCCAGTAAAAAGATGCGTCTGTGTATCGACACACAAACATCGTTACGGACGCAGGAGCCTCTTGAATCGTGCGAAACCTGTGAGTTTTTCAGGTGATTCGATAAGCTACGATCAACAGGACAAACGTTTTCCGTTGCTATATCACATTTCACAAGCTATTTGGTGGTTGAGGTAGCTCATTGGCTGAGGTGCTGATTTACTGACCGGACCAGAAGGTCCGTGGTTGGAACCCAACCTCTGTATCTCGACCGTTCCTGTCTGGGTTTGGGCAACTTAACAGTTTCATGGTCCTCGTGCTTTCTTCGGTTGGCATGGCAGTTAGACACCAAAAGGGGGCTACAGCTGGACCATTTTTTTTTTAACGTTTTTTTGTGCAACTGGTTAGTATTCCGTTCTTGTCACCTATGCATTTGAGTACTTCACTCGGTATCATGCCCGTTCCTTCTTGCCGACGAGTAGTGATGCCGGTACTTATCGCTTTCCATCATGTTTTGGCCGTTTTATGGCCTGCATCAGGCCTCTGCATTTTCACCCACTAATTCATCTGCCTCGGGTCCACATCGGCACCAAAGACCTTCACACAGTGCCCCATTCGGCTCCGCGGTAATTGCTTGTAACTACTCGACCATGCGCAGGCGTTCGGTGTTTTGACGATTGTTGCCGGGCGTATCCGAAGTGAATGCTCCGGTGTATACTGGAATGTTGCGGCCAAACGCAAATTTCTCTGGTTCATTGGCCGTTTGAGGACACGCACCAAGAAGATAAAAAGTCGGTTTGCATTTTAGTGTGAACCAGCCGGAGGGCGATCTCCTCTCATTTCAACACTACCTACGAACAAGAAGTCATGCTCTTACGATAATAGTACGTATATCGATTGGGCCTGTTATAAAAACTGTAGGATTGCATAACTGCGGCGGGATTGGGTCTATGGTCATTGCTTTTGCACCCCTATAAGTGTATGTGACACCGGCTAGCAGTTGCATTCTTATAGGTACTCCTAAGCGTATGATATTTGATTGTTGACCGATTGCTTTGCTTTTGAGGTGATGTTTCCCAACCAGGATGAACAGTCTAACAGTGTCCCCGGCTTGTCAGTATCGACGGGCCCGTTTGATGGATTTGCTGCTACTTGGAAACATCCACCTGCTTTTACTCCCCATGTGAATAATAGAGTTTTGCATTATTTGTTTTTCAACGGCCCCTACAACTTGCGTTTTTAACAGAACAGATAACCCCTCAGTGACTGGACTCGAACCACTGACCATCAACTAGTCCAACTAATAACATTCGGCCGTTAATCCATGAAGCAGATACTTGGCAAGTCACTTGTAAAGTACACAAGTGTGACAGTGAGCAGTGTTCTCGGTGGCTCCTGGGAAGCGGGAGGTTTAATTGGAATGTACCTCCAGGTGTCTGTTTGATATGCTGTGCGCGTTTCGCTTCTTTGTTCAAAATGTACTAAAGTTCTTTGTGATCTACATCCACCTGTGTTTTGGCAGGTCGGCAGGCTTACAGCTAGGTCAAAGATGCTCACACTATTGGCTCCAACATATTAGCAGGTAGTTGTTACGTTTCCCACACACTAATTATGACTTTGTGAACCTGACAAATCGTCAAACGTTGTGCATGTCATATATTGTTTCAGGCTTAATTCACTCTGTCTTGCCACGACGAATATGGATGTTTTCTACAGTAAACGCTGCGTCACAGTTTGTGGATTGCACGATTAAAACGAGTCGAACTGTAAGCGTCCGAGGTATGTTGGACGCAGTCGCTTCATGAACCAAATGAGCTTATATGAATGCATGTATGAAAAAGTGATGAATCCGGCGGTGCTGTTCTGTACTTTTAGTTGAACCGAACATGTGTCTGGCCTTCGAGATGCTGTTGGGAGGAACAGGCCCAGTCTATTTATGCTGCTACGTAACTGCATCCCAACTCCACTCGATTTTTACTCGGGTTACACGGATGCTTTCAAAGTTGTCTGGACCGGTTTTACGGGGAGTACTGCGAATTCGGCGCTGTGAGAAGTTGATCCAAGTCGTCCCCATTTGGTTGACATACTCGAATATAATATATACCCGAATATATATACTAGAGGTCAATATAATCTTGAATGGGACAATGCATCAAGGCATTAAGCAGTGGGAGCAAATTTCGCTTAAAATTGGAGATAATCAACTTAAGAATGGGTTGAGTTACTTTAAGCATTCGTTTCTGTGTTCAGATTTGCGTGAATGAATGCAGTGACCAGTGAATGTATCAATTTCGCGGTTACGCAATGCGATGAAACACGCACTTCTGAGAATGCGCACCAGCCACACCGACGAACTACCGTCGACTACCGCTATGTCATTCCTATCTCTGTTAGGGAAAATGGACCTGCTTGGTGGTAGCGAAGAGCCGATCTAATTGGGATTGCCGAATTTCTAAAGCGAACTTGGAATGTTATCCTGAATGGTGTTGGTAACCCTCTGGATATAGTTCTCATAGAAATTATTAGCGAATATCCATTGCATACGGTGACTACGATTCTCATGAGCTTTAGCGAAAGACAACCCCCTATCGTGGAGGAAATATACAGCCTATAACCGGAAACAAGATGAACCGTACTTCCTAAAGCCATCCACAACATTGCATTCAGCAACATCAGTTATATTCTATGAGTAGGACTATCCACACTTGCTTAATTCTTTGCCAGCCACAATAAAGCGCAGCCTATTGAATGTTACCAAAAGCAACAGGGCTGCAACCTCGAAGTGGTGTAAAAGGCGCCCATTTTTTGTTCATTACCAGGGCAGATAATTCCAACTCGTGTATCTGCCTTGTACCGCAGTACGTTGTTTTCATCTGTGAACGGTTATCCTGATCATAGATCTCTGGTGGAACGTAATGCCAGATAGTCCAGTAATATTTACTTTCATTCGTCTTCTCTTATAATTAGCCTCATTATCAACGACGGAACATTCCAGTTCATCTTGGCTGCGGAATGGTTGGACTAGTGCTACGCCATCGATTTCACGCCCTCTCTTAGCCCAAGAAACTCTATGCTTTGAACGAATTCGTAAGTGGAATTCGGACCAAGTGAGCCATTGGTTAGAGGAGAATGGTCTTTCGGCATTCCGAACTGCTTTCAGTACAGTGGACGGGCCCATGCTTGCCGAACTGGCTCGTCTCCGTCTGTTTGCGCCCAATTACTACCTCGCCAGTTTGGACCGTGACATGGGTATGTCGGTGATGGAACAGCTCCGCTTAAGCGCCGCATTTACTAAGTTGGCACTTGAGGAAGCACCTGTTCCCTAGTGAATTTATGGATCAGCCTTCTTATGCCCGGTTAGAATTCAGTCTAGCCTGCTGTGTTGAGTCTCCCGAATATCGGCATTTTTTCGAAATAACCGATGACTTTCTTCTCACCGCACTATTCTTTGTTTTACTTTGCTTTTCAATGCGCCACTGTTTTAACATGACCAAAGATTCCATCTGCTATGCAATTTCTTACCAAATCTGTTTGCTTAGTTTTATATCCGTTTTGGCCACTGCACTGTGACCGTCCTTTTTGAACCGCAATTGGTGAAATCGTATTTTTTGGTTGCGTTGACCTTGTAGTGATAGCCAGGATCAAGTTACTTATGTTTGAGCAACACTCATCAAGACTTTCCGAAGTATATCTAGGATCCATAAGTTCTCCAACTCCTTGGACGAAACAGGTTGGTCTAATAACCCTAGCACACCCAACCGGTGATGTCTACCGCGTCGTACCCGGTTGGAACAAAAAAAAGTATCAAGATGGGAATTAAAAACTGTAGAGACGGACGTGAGGATAGTGCAGAACCAAGCGAACTAATTTGGAGACCGTGGGGATTAGCCCATTGTGTATTCTATGAACCGATCGAACGACGATTTGGTCTCAGATTCCAATGATCACCGGCACTCAAAACAAAATAGGCATTTATTTGTACTTCTTTCACACTGTTGTACCGTGGGTGGCCGTCTATTAGTTACACCTGCACTGAGCCTGCCAGACTACGCGACAAGGAGAAGACAGAGAGCTCTGAACACGGCTGTATTGTCAGGACAAAACATACAGAGCTTCTGCGTAAATATATAGGATGACTAAATGGCCAAATATGGTCGTTCACTTGTTCGTCCTGTGCAGCCAATGGCAGTGTCCCGATCGTGAACAATTTGAGCCTCACTCCACTGGTCCTATGTTGCTAAGCCGTGCTTGGTGAGCTCCGCCAACGCACCTGCTTTCCGAACGTGTTGTACCTTGGGGGATGCGTCACTGCGCGCATGTACTTCTTCCATGTCTGGGCGCGTCTTGACACACACGTCACCACAACTTCACTTTCGGTGCGTTTGTACATCAAGCTCTACGCTGTTTGGAGCAATGTTAACGCATTTCAACAACTTCGTAAAATAGGATTGTTTGTCGTCAGCGGGACCGGGAGGTTTCTTGACATCGAGAATTCGTTGTTAAGAAGTTCTTTACAACTGGGATCTCTCCCTACAGTTCGAGCAGCAGCTACCGGGACTTGAACGAAGGAGAGCAATAGCGTCTGCATACTCAGTGTCTGTAAGCGAACATCCCGGGAGCATTTAAACTCCCGGGGCTTCACAGGCGGGCAGAGAAATCTCAAGTAGCATATCAATAACAAAGTTGTAGAAAAAAGGCGGAAGAGGACCGCCTTTTATTATACCACTGGACGTGGCGAACTCAGGTGAAAGCTTTTTGTATGGTCGCACGCGCTCTCAGGAGTTCGCTTTATTGTGAAGCGGCATCGCGCTATATTTTTAGGGACAGTTGACCTTGATACAAAGCTGTGATCGGCGTTTAGTGGAGTTTGAGGGTCTCGGTAGACTTCGGGCATGCCAAGATAATCTTCAGGAATCTGAACTTCCTGACAATTATTCGAAAATAAGGCTTACCGTAAGTCTTGCGCTAAAATAGATCAGAATTCAAGATGATACGACAGCAATCTATAAGTCTCCGTACGATACCGCAAAATCTCTTTGGTTTTTGTTTAGAGCAGCATGAGAACGGGAACTCTGTTTGTCCGAAAGCCAAAGACTCGGGTCGCAGTAATTCCAGCTTTATTCTGCAGCTAAGTAGAGGAGCTGAGAAAATCATGTCGAACTGACTGGTTCCGAGGTGATTTCGTACATTTCATCAGCCTAGGTTCTCAGAATTCCGCCACATTCTGTCTATACGACTAACAAGGTGGTGATGGCTTCCCGAAATCTCGTTTATATTGCAATTTGATTAGCTATCGGTTCGAACTCTCGGGCCTAATATTTCGGCCCTGCTTAAATGATTGTTTCCCCGGTAACGTCAAAATCACAAATTCGCTGCAAACTAACTTCAAAATTTCTTTTAAACTGTGCTAACTACTTACTGGCTTGTAATCCGGTAAAGAATGGATCGTCGGTATTGATTTTGTGGTGAGGGAAGGTTGGGCCGGTAAGACATCTCTAGGGAGATTGGGTAGTGGTCGGTTCTCTGTGTTTAACACGTTGTGAACTGTAGTTGAGTCCGTGCAACTTTCAGCCGAATAGGCAGAACAGACCACACAAAATGCCATTAAGTAATAATAAATGCGACAAGAAAATACAATAACAACTTCAAGTAGAAAATGGACAAAGAATCTCAAAAAGCTGCAGAATGGCTAAGAAAGACGAGGTCGGAAAGAACCTGATGACTGAAAAACACGCGAGAGAGTAGCGCGAAAGCCTACAATTTGGTAGAAGACAGTTGGTGAAGGGCTGCGAGTAGACGTAACTGGTCTGTGAGCTTCATACCCAAATTCCTGAATAAGCCTTCGCATAATGCATCCAGTGAAACTAATCTTAGGCGAGCCAATTCCACCAACATCTGGCCATTCACATTTGAGAATGCCCCCCGATACGATGAAAGGTTGGCTTTGTCCAGCCATTCACACACCTCCAGTTCTGACCAAAAGTAGACGTTGGCCATTTGTGGCATCAATGAATGAGAGGATATGACTGGTTTTTCACACTCTTGACCGGGATGGTGCGTAGTAGTTGGGTGATGGAGGGCTATCCTTGAAGCATCTGAATGAACGGGTAGGATAGGAATGAAAACCAAGTAGTGCGTTGGGTAAAGTACGAACTAGATGGGACATTTACAAGAAACCCTTGGAACTCTACTTTCGAGTTCGATGGATGTCATCCTTTTGGGAAAACTGGTCGTTTCTGTTGAACAGTGGCGGCTAACCCGAGGTAAACAACAGGAAAGGTCAAATAATTCTGTTACGGCCAGTCTTTCGTTTCTCTTCGATGATGCGCCTCCTGCAACAATCGTAAGCTACGAGTTGTGTACTACATATATCCTTTCACTTGTGAAGTCTTGATGTGCTGGGATTGAACCTGCGGAAGTTATACATGAGAAGAAATGCGGCCATATAATTTTGTTGCGGATGAGCACTTAACAATAACTAGAGGTCCTGTCTTGCTCGGAAATCAATGAGAGGCTGAAAATTCGCGACTTTGCCTGACTACCTGTTGTCTACTGCCCGTCCAAGTTTCGTTTCAACAAGTGAATCTGTTTACAGATGATCAGGCCATTTATGTCATTGTATCCGAAAGCACCCAGCGGTCTACTAAGCCAATTATGGCCGCAGTATGTTTACGTAGACTGCAACAATTTTATTATCTAACAGAAGCGTGTAACAAGGGTGAATATCAACTGAGGGCCTTCGTTGAAAAATTCGCTCAATATAGGATATGAGATTACCAATGTCGGCATTGATACACTAGTCGCAATGTGGCGTTTTCAGATGGCCAGAGTAAAGACCGACGATGTAGCAACGGAGTCACCACCATTCGATGTCAACCGTGAACAATGGTGATGGTCTATGAGCTGCAGAAGCATGTGTAAAGGATAATTACCCTACTTAGTGGCGTAGGCGAGTCAATGCAAGCGAAAAATTGAGATCGGCGCACAAGTATATCACGAAGGCAACTAACATGTCCGTGAAATATACATTGCGAAGTTTGACGAGCACATCATTCTGTTACAAATAGAGTGCTTCGGATTCTTGTACATCGAGATTAACATGGCTGGTTGGGATATCGGACTACTAAGTGCGTTTGAATTCGGATCGCGACTGGAAACATCCAGTGAAACAAAACGGGATTCAACCTGTGTGCCAAGTTGAAGAGATGAATCCAAATAAGTTGCAACATAGGGTTTTTTACTCTTCATACGACACATCCTTGTGTGAGTTCTGCTGCTCTTTGATTTACTCAGGAATGTACGCTTACTCCCGTGCTTGGCTAATATGTTGTAATATAATGATGTAATACACGACATACTATTTGTATTGTAATATTTTGCAATATCTTTGTACAACGGCTGTTTATATGTGATTGTTTGGGTAGTCTTGTACAACAAGGAGTGCTTTGTTTTTATTCACTATAAAAATGCTTAGGAAAGTGTAACGAAGTGGTATTTCTTTGACCACACGTTACGAGGCATGGATAGAAGTACTCCAGTTTGGTGGTGGGACTAAACAGATGTACAGAAACGCTACGAAGATAAAGCCTCTATAGTATCACTTCTTAATACAGAGTACCACTCACAACCCATAGCTAATATAATGATATATATAATAGCTAATTCAGTTATGACACCTTTCGATGCGTAGCTGCCGTACACCTCGAAAGAAGCACGAGGGCTGAGGTATCATCAGGTTATACCCAGGTCTGGACAAGCGTAATCGAGAAACCAGGGTTGGTTTCGAACTACGGACCTCTCGGTCTGTAACCTCGCGCTATAGCCGCTGAGCCGGCTCGATTCCTTAGCCCTAGGATAACGATTTTATTCGACAATGAGCCCCGTGCACACAAAGATTACGGTATTATTTTACAGGATGCAAGAGAGTGCCGTTTATGAGAAAACGTCGGGTATGCTTCTTTTCGTGGGTATTCCTTGTTGGCAGGGGCAAATACAGAGAAACATAAGTGTAGTGTTTTAATACTGTAGTATTTAATAACTGCGGCTCTTAACAATCCGTCCGACTATCAGCAATCGTTGCCCTAACTGCCCCCATTCTAAATATTTCAGCTAAAACGGCTGCTTGATGTTGGAGTAGAACTAGATGTGATGAAACCACAACCTCAAATGCGTTCAACGCGGGACAGAACATGCAATCCAGCTGTTCAACAGCCTAAGAACTTCCCGTAGTATTTTTCAAGTTCGCTTCCTGTTATTTGAGTCAGCGAGAACAAACGTCCTTTTGACACCAGGGATTTTGTATCTTTCCGCAGGTGAGTCGTTGAACCGTTTTGTCTGGAGAGCAGTTTTGACTTTGTCTTATGAACAGTGCCGCTATTTGTTTTCCAAAAGTGGTACAATGCCAGACCACAGCAGCCAAGTGCGTAGCTGAGACAGAAAGATTTAAACCTAGCAGAAAAAGGAGATATTTTCAATCACGCAGTTGTTTGACATACACTACAATTCTACTTGAAATCACGTATTTCACCTCCCGATATGGCTGAAAGTTGTGCAACCAGTACCAAAATGTGCATGTTAGCAAAAAAAGTCTGCAGGTTGGTCGTTGCGCAAAGTCCCCGCAATATAAAGAATAGGACTTAGCCCCATTTGGATAGGTTATCATTTTGGTTTTCTACAGCACGACCAACGTTCTGTACATGTCGTATTCACACACGGTTACCGTTGATGTTGATCCAAACGTTGATGACCATTCACCTGTTTGACCTTACGTGTCAGTGCTCCATGGAACAGAGACGGTAAGATTGGCTCAAATGAAAACCTGTGCTCAAATAGCGCGACTGGAAACATCCAGTGAAACAAAACGGGATTCAACCTGTGTGCCAAGTTGAAGAGATGAATCCAAATAAGTTGCAACATAGGGTTTTTTACTCTTCATACGACACATCCTTGTGTGAGTTCTGCTGCTCTTTGATTTACTCAGGAATGTACGCTTACTCCCGTGCTTGGCTAATATGTTGTAATATAATGATGTAATACACGACATACTATTTGTATTGTAATATTTTGCAATATCTTTGTACAACGGCTGTTTATATGTGATTGTTTGGGTAGTCTTGTACAACAAGGAGTGCTTTGTTTTTATTCACTATAAAAATGCTTAGGAAAGTGTAACGAAGTGGTATTTCTTTGACCACACGTTACGAGGCATGGATAGAAGTACTCCAGTTTGGTGGTGGGACTAAACAGATGTACAGAAACGCTACGAAGATAAAGCCTCTATAGTATCACTTCTTAATACAGAGTACCACTCACAACCCATAGCTAATATAATGATATATATAATAGCTAATTCAGTTATGACACCTTTCGATGCGTAGCTGCCGTACACCTCGAAAGAAGCACGAGGGCTGAGGTATCATCAGGTTATACCCAGGTCTGGACAAGCGTAATCGAGAAACCAGGGTTGGTTTCGAACTACGGACCTCTCGGTCTGTAACCTCGCGCTATAGCCGCTGAGCCGGCTCGATTCCTTAGCCCTAGGATAACGATTTTATTCGACAATGAGCCCCGTGCACACAAAGATTACGGTATTATTTTACAGGATGCAAGAGAGTGCCGTTTATGAGAAAACGTCGGGTATGCTTCTTTTCGTGGGTATTCCTTGTTGGCAGGGGCAAATACAGAGAAACATAAGTGTAGTGTTTTAATACTGTAGTATTTAATAACTGCGGCTCTTAACAATCCGTCCGACTATCAGCAATCGTTGCCCTAACTGCCCCCATTCTAAATATTTCAGCTAAAACGGCTGCTTGATGTTGGAGTAGAACTAGATGTGATGAAACCACAACCTCAAATGCGTTCAACGCGGGACAGAACATGCAATCCAGCTGTTCAACAGCCTAAGAACTTCCCGTAGTATTTTTCAAGTTCGCTTCCTGTTATTTGAGTCAGCGAGAACAAACGTCCTTTTGACACCAGGGATTTTGTATCTTTCCGCAGGTGAGTCGTTGAACCGTTTTGTCTGGAGAGCAGTTTTGACTTTGTCTTATGAACAGTGCCGCTATTTGTTTTCCAAAAGTGGTACAATGCCAGACCACAGCAGCCAAGTGCGTAGCTGAGACAGAAAGATTTAAACCTAGCAGAAAAAGGAGATATTTTCAATCACGCAGTTGTTTGACATACACTACAATTCTACTTGAAATCACGTATTTCACCTCCCGATATGGCTGAAAGTTGTGCAACCAGTACCAAAATGTGCATGTTAGCAAAAAAAGTCTGCAGGTTGGTCGTTGCGCAAAGTCCCCGCAATATAAAGAATAGGACTTAGCCCCATTTGGATAGGTTATCATTTTGGTTTTCTACAGCACGACCAACGTTCTGTACATGTCGTATTCACACACGGTTACCGTTGATGTTGATCCAAACGTTGATGACCATTCACCTGTTTGACCTTACGTGTCAGTGCTCCATGGAACAGAGACGGTAAGATTGGCTCAAATGAAAACCTGTGCTCAAATAGATGTATTGCACTACTCATAAGGTTGCTGAAGACTCTTAACAACATCATAGACGAGGGATTCAGCTGGTTTCCATGTAAGTCTCTCGTCAAAAACCAAAATGGTATGCAATGAGTGTATTTCGCTTGGTATTCAAATGGCTCGACCCATTTTCAGTGTTTCATGTAACAAGGATACGAACTTGGTTGAACTCGTTTTTAAATGCTTCCAGAGAACAGAGTAGTATGGTGGTCGTTGGTTTGTTCGCCGAACTGGGCAAGCGTTTCATCACCAATCGAGGTAACATCGTCAGTACATAGCGATTAGCCAGTGGTTGGGCTAGTACTATGACCCTAAAATATGGGTAAAACAGCAAATATATGCACATATATGTGCTCAGCTGCATTGTATTGCAGACGAATCAGGTGTACACTGTGTAGAGGGCCTAAGAGGTTTCTTGGTAGGTTATTACTTGCAGCCCGCCATTCCATCGCAAAAAAAAAACTTCGGAATGGTTATCTTTAATTAGTATCCCTTGTATCGGGCACCTAACCCGAAAGAAGCACAAGGGCTGGGATGCTGCTAGGTTGCCGAAGCCTGGATAGGAGAAGTCGAGATACGGAGGTCAAATTCGGACCAGACCTTCCGGTCGGCGAATCCGCGCTTTAACCGCTAAGCCATCCCGCCTCTCATAAGATGGGCACCGTATTCAGTCATTCGATGGCAAGTTTCGCCTGCCTCGAGAAATTTTTCGTCGGATTCTTGGCCCTTAACAGTGACTGCACTCCACAAGGCTGCACAGTTTATTCTCCCGTCAGAGTCAAATTAGTATGAAAATAAGAGCATTTGGTGAATTCCGTGCCGTTTGGGTTCAATCCAAACATGAGGTCGACGGAAACTCGAGGACTGTGCCACTGGTCGTGGGCTGTTGAAGCTACTGTTTTCAGCAACTTTATGAGTAGTGTATTACGCGTAGGGGATAGCGGTTGAATGAGCCAAACGAGATGTAAGTCAGTGAACTACCAGAAGGCCAACTGAGCGACCCAAGCTTTTAGAAAAATATACATTGACCGATCTTTATGAAATAAGCATGAGGGCACTATGAGTCACCAGAAGACCGTCGATATGGAAGATACACAGAGTAGATGACTGAGTGAGCCGATTGAAGTGGATACGGTACTGCGTATTGCCTTCGTTATTCTGATGATTGTTTAGTTATTTCTATTACTAGTTGAAAAAGTTAGGAAAACTGACGTTTTTCTTTTAAAAATTGCGCTTTTCGAGTGCATACAACTGCAAGCTGTGCTTGCTGATAATACTGAGCCCGTATGGTACGGAGCATCGTATTTCAATACCAGATTTCTTGATGCCTGAATCGGAAGTTGCACAACTAACATGGTCGGCAGTCGTTAATCAGCAAACCAAACCGGAAGTTTGAGAACTGGTCCAGTAAACAACGGAACACGAAAGTTCAGACCTTTCATCAACAGACATACGGTTTCGACTACTAAATAGGGTGCAAACACAGAAATCGCACCCTCGTGATATGGTGCTTTGAGCCTCTCAGAATCTGCAAAGCGAGTTAATTCATTTAAACATGATGTCCGTGGGAGCGAGGCACAAACCGATTGGTTATAGATCATCGCCACGTATCATTACCTTGATTTTCCACAATACATCACGTGCGTTTTTTCTCCGACATGGTACACTACCTACAGGAAATGAATAAAACTCATCGACAGGCCACTACAAGTTTAGACCTGCTTGAATCTCATCAGATGGATGCAGCCTTAAAATTTCAATTCCTGTCTGAACACCGAACTAGAAGCACAGTTCACCATCGGTGTAAAGACACTTTCCCTTCGCCTGAAAAAGACTAGTAATGTGAACCGATTTTAGCAGCATTTGAATAAGTTGGCAATACTGGTGACAAAAAGTTGAAGTTGGACGGCCCGATTTCACGGCAGGCACTTGTTTACCCATCCACCTCAACAACTCAGGTTGGCAGATCGACCGAGATCAGACCACATGTTCCAAAATGCCGGCTAATCACAAGTGAATAAAGGAACACAGTAAACGACGTTAATATTTTCGGGATCTCGTCGTCAAGTCAGTACACATCTAATGGTTAAAATAGGGATAAATGATGAAATAAGCAGGCAAGATTGGTTCGTGAACTAGAAAACGTGGAGACACGAACGACTGGTTGTCGGCGCACCCGATGTCACTTCGGGTTTTCCTATTCACTAACCAATAACGGTCCCTCAGAAGGGGCCGTTTTAGCCCGGTTTCGAGAGGACGGTACGGTAAACGCAGTACTCAAACAGACCGCCCATTTATGAAGCTCCACAACTCGACGTGTAGTGCAAAGAAATCTGAGGAAAGCTGGTAGTTTGAATTTATCGTTCATACAAATTTGGTACGCACAAGCATTTCAACACCCGTGATAACTGAATCGAACATGATCTCCAGGAGCTGGGTCAATTTGTCGTACAGATAAGATTATTCGACGGTAGTACCTGGTGTAGAAACCTTTTGTGGTAAAGGACTTCTGCATGCGTGAAAGGCTGTGAGGGTGTACATCAACCGAGCAGATGAGCCATGCCAGTTTACTGAGCATATTGAACGTGGTTACCGCGCACACTACCTACAACCGAACCCGTTTCCCGAATCAGGTGCACCTTACTTTGAACAGGTACACCACCAATCTGACGGTGATCGTTGTTACATTAGCCCTATATCTGGGAAAACTCTTGTTCACAAGTGTCCACACTGGCTGAGAGTAGTGCGCACCTGGGTCTTTTCAGTATTGATGAATTATCCATTACGCATAAATATACGAAAAAGAGCAATGTATGGTCCAAACTGTAAACAATACAGTCAGCTAGTAGTACTCACCTGACTTGAAATCAATAGAGCCGGGTAAATTAATTCGTTCATTGTGGTGACCAGAAGAACTTTGAGTGGACCTCCCAAGGAGAGATAGTATCGCCGACCGTTCATCCAACGTCCTCGAAAACTGTGCCTCGCTACCGGAATTGCACTCGGACATGTGGCCTCGTACGCCTAACTGTTTGGCTAGATGAGCCACAGCGTCCGGAACCATAGACTCATCAGTGAGGGAAATGCGTGGAAGCGCAGCCAGCAAAATTCCAAGCCAACCATCCGCGAAGAAGTCCGGCTCCAATGTCAACGGGAACAGTGGAATTCCAAGAGAATAAGCGTATTTCACCTCTTGGCGACAATGTGGGGAGTTTTTAAACTCTTGTGAAATACCAAGGATTACTCCAGCAGCCTGCTCAATTCCCTTAGCCATGGCATCGACGAAAGAACCATCTGAAAAGATTGAGAAACAGTGCGCGCGCTATCGGATATTGAAAACAGTCACGCTAATTGCAATAATGTGTGAAAACGGAACATTCTTCAACCTTTGTGAGGCCAGTTGGCATTCATAGCTCCCACACTGACAACTTAGGGTGCACTTCAGGCAAAGGCCACAAACAGTGTGAAAACCTAACTGTTCTGAGAAACTGAAAAGGGTAAATATGTTGCTCGAAAGCTAACGTTATAAAATACGCCGGAAACTGACGGTTGAGCGGTGTTACGTAACCTTTCCGGGGGAATTGTGAGTGCCGTCACCATTTATATTTTCTATTCCAATGTATCGTGTAAGTATGACTTTGATTTGTGGAATAAAACCGGAACACTGATCTACAACTGTTTGTGACCCCAACATCATCCAAGTAATCAACGGACGAAGCTGCCTCTATGTTAAAAACAAGGCACAGCGACTAAAGATAATAGCCTAAAAACAGCTAACTATAAGTAATAGACACCGATGGAGCAGTGAGAAAAAATCGCTTAGGTCCATTAAGTTATCCCAAAATCAACAGCATGTACAGTCATCCGTTAATTTATTCACTGAGTTGGGTTATTCGATTGCAAAAGACGAGCATTCCAATCACTGAAACAGAAGACCTTGTGTCACTGCTATGACCCCGAGATGTACTGAGCTACTGAAGGATTCTAGTCGTTTTGTTATGCGTTGTCACGGCTATTCATAAGAAACGTATTATCGATCGTCTGTTTGGAGCAAATAGACAGTAGACCATCCCGAGAACGGTGATTTCTATGACCTACCTTATGCGAGACCGCTCGTATCGTCTGTAGGGTACCTGAGCCTAGATGCTGAGTAATTCAACTAATATTGGCCGCTTTTTTCATTACTTGAAATCTATTTTAGACTCCGTTGGTCAACGAACGCTATGGTAGCATCTGTCAAGCAAAGTTGTCCTGCGGATAAGTGTAAGACTACAATGGGCTTTCGTTTAAGTTCCCTAACTCCCAAATTTGTCCGATTTTCCGTTCTTCCTTAGCTTATCATCGATGCCAGCTCCTCAAGAATTGAATTTTTCCAACGAGTTTACCTACTGACGAGAATGTGAGTGATACAATTCTCCTCGGGACCTGATCATGTACAGACACAAATGCTACTTACCCGGCAACTCTGCTACATTAGTTGATACGCGCTTCATAAGTGCAGACCGCAAGATGCTACTTCAAGACTGGTGGAGATGACTGCAAATAAGGTAATCATTCGCTTGCGCAGTGGTTTTGTAAAGTCATGACAACTTTTGCCAATTTGAGAAACCAGATTATTTATCAAAGATAGGGTGTGTGGTTGTTTTATGTGGGCCGCATTGCTATATGGTTCGAAAACCTGGCTACTGCGAGCACATGTCCCAACTCGTTGCTTGGCGATAGATGAGTTCGGAGAATTCCTCGTATCTGGTGCGAACATTAGAATAAAGGTATCAAATTGGTTTTGGAATAAATAGTCCATACATGAACCAAAAAACATTGAACATTATGTTGGCTTCATGGGGTGCTTCTAGACCCCGAGGACATCCGAATTCACGAGATTCTCTTCAACAAACAGCACGGGTGAAGTGGCCTATAGGCCCGAATATAATTCGATAGCTAGACATGAAAACTGAGCATCCTTGGCAGGTGTCGTCTCCTTGAGCAGGAGATATCCAATGACAAGAAAAATTGTCGTCGTGCGAACTGTACAAGCCGTACTTCGATCTTTCACCACGTAAAAACTCCATTAAATTATTCAACCACGTGATCTCGTAACCATTCATGTCTTTGAAATGGATGGGACGAATGAGTCTGATCCTTGTAGCCGAGCTAATAGACCCGAGTGAAGAATTCATCCGACCGAGTGGCCGGATCAGTTTCGACGGCCGAGTTGCGGATATACTCGCCTCTCAAAAAGGGAAGGCGCCGGGGCATGGGTTCTACTGACTCGCGTATGACATCAGTTTGCCCGGACAAACGCACACGATGCGGTCCCCGCCTCCCCACCGCCAGTGGTTTGACAATTGGTGTCTGGAATGTTACTCGAGCTCAATTGGAAAACCTAAAGGGTAGTGCGAAAATACCTTGGATGATTCTTAAAGGAACTGACTGAAACGCGACAGACAAGTCGATGAAGTTTGACGAGTTGAGCCGGATAGATAGTATTTGGGTAAAATCTTCTGGGACCTCCTACCGTTGCTGTGTCCAGTTTTCATCCGGTTGGACGAGAGATGGGACCGGGTTTGTTGGGTATGGTTTGTACACCTGAAAGATTAGCAGACCAACTGTCTCAAGTGGTCCGTTTCGACAAGCGGGTTTATCAGTAAAATGATCTGCCAAGGTGTACAAACCATACCCAACAAACCCGGTCTCATCTGTCGTCCAACCGGATGAAAACTGGACATAGCAACGGTAGGAGGTCCCAGAAGATTTTACCTAAATACCACTTGTGTATACCGACTACTGCCTTAAATTTGTAGTCGTTCCTCGGGTTACAAACAAATAGCGCAATGTGTTCACAAAGCAGCATGTGACCAGTGTTCGATATCATTTATAGTATTGTACCTCTCGCTTCATTGCATATATATATATATATATATATAATGACGGCAGCCAAAAGCAATTACCAGTACCCAGGCCTGTGAGCAGTGACTGGTGCATTTGCATTCGACAGTCAATTAAAGTGTGTGTGAATAGCCAACCAACAATAGATCCGAATAAAAGCTAAACACCTGATGAGCCGTAATTTACAGGACCGACCATATGCTAATCTAAACTATGGATTTCGCTGGAAGAACTGCGAGGCTACACTAAGCTGTCCTCAGATTGATTCAAAGGCGGTCCGGAAGCAATTTCAGTGTGCATCGGAGCCATTTTTGAAGTTTCCGGATGGAGATTTTATTGTATCTCAGTTGTAATTAAAAACTTACGACGTGCGCATAATCCCGTGCATCCGTTTTCATAATTCAAGCAGCTCACTCAGTCATCAGAGAACTCAACAGATGTGTCGCATGCACTGCATGAATGCATCTTCCATTCAGTTCTACGCATGAATGACTCTGCTCGTCACACTTATGTTATTCGATGTATGTGTTTGTGTGTCGCAAGTTGGTCGAAGGCAAGAGCTTATTGCAATGGTCACTCGTGTGACCGGGTAACTGATGCAAACAAACTAGACGGGGAAACACGTTTGATCTCAAGATTGTAACAAAGAGGTTCAGCATAATGTCCATGCGACTTGAGTAGGTCAGTCAAACGGTCTTCGCCGTTTGGTCGACAGTCGGGCCAGATACAAGGGGACGGGGACAAAACCGGAGTAAAAGCGGCGTGGCTTGCTGATGGAGTATTTCAAACGTTTACATGCGGCGCGAAAACAAGTAAACGCGAAATCAGTTCCGCAGGGTATTTGTTACGGATCCTGCAGCTGCACATCACCAACGAAGAAATAGGATGCACAGTATGTACTTATCCCTACTTTGTGCTTCGATTGAAGCAGCACATGACAACAACGTAGTATAGACAAATTCTAAAATTGGATTCAGTTTACATGTACTCATACATGCCCCAGATGACCTACAAACGCTATCTCAGTAAATTTACCGATTCTTTTTAAAAATTCTAAAGTCAGTGTGATCCATTGAGGCGAGTACTAGATATTCTCAGTAAAATCGTTTGATTAGAAACTCCTGTGTTCTGCACTTCAATGGATGTTTCATGCTGGGAGTGAAGTAACTCCAAACTGATAGGTTGATAGGTAGTGTGGAGCTCCTCGGTTACCTTAGGACTCATCAGAATTACATGCCTCAAGGGGTATGGGAGACCCATACTCCCAACTTTCTAATCAGTTGTTGACTATCATGCATTCGACTACGAGTAACTGAGTGACAGTGTGTATAAGTAAGCTGTTTACCTGTAACAACCTTTCTGTGCTTAAATGCCCTGCCACCAGAAGGAAGTACGAGGACTAGAATAGTGCCAGGTTGCCCAAGCCTAGGCAGTAGACGTCGAGACGCAGAGGTCGGGTTACAAACACGGACCTTCCGATCAGTAAGTCGGCGTTGTAACCACTGAGCTATCTCGCCCGATTCGCGCCATTTGCATCTGTACAGTTGTGTTTGAAACTAGGATTCAGACACTACGCAGACTTCATTTATTAGTCCAATAGTCCAATAGTGAAGGAAGATGACATAAAATGGTATTTATTGACCATAATCAAACAGCATCCCCATAATATTGAAGTCGTAAAGTGACGACTCTTCCCCGCTTGCTCAGCGTGCCGCCGCCGCAAAAAGCCGTCAGCGGTAGCATGGTACCAGCTGGTCTGACTGAACCACACAGAAACACACAATTGCTCTAGCCCCTAGTACGGAAACCGACGCTGCATATTCTCGCTGCAGTAGAAGGTGATCAGGCTTTCTCACATTCGTATGCACAAATCAACTTTATTTAGGAGTGAGCTCCACTTACACATTTAGTCGTAATCTGGCTGACTATAAAGATAGATTATGTCTCGTTCATGTGGCGAACATAGTGGGCGTGAAGACTATCGATTCGGGATCTATGTGACAGCCGGAAAATAGGTTTGGTATAAAGGTGTGCCACCCGTTAAAAATATGGGATGATCACACAAACGCAACAGACATTCACAACAGCACCCTAAAGCCAAAGGTCCTTATGCCGCAGAGTTATGTTCACAAGCTTTACACACATTCAGTACTGCACCTCAATGTATCAACTGCCTGCAATAAAAATAAAAGTAACAACTTATTCAAACCTAAGAGCAAAATTTGAGACCTACTACCATATTTTGACGAAGGAATTCTGTAAACTTACACATGTTTTCAACATCCATCCAAACAATATAGCCACGACAGCGTAATTCGTCGCGAACCTTCAACATGATCTGTTGTGTGCTATGCTTATAACTAATCATTAGGTGTTTCCCACGTCTTGATTGCAAGCGCTCGGTGGCCATCATAGCATCAACTTGAATTGGATTAACCAATGGCGTGGCTCTAGATCTGTTGAGGTTCCAACAAATCCCACTTGCTGCTTTTCGCCAGTCTGCAGGCCAGTTCTTGCCTTCAGAAATTTGGTCTATCATCCGACGGAGTTCGGAACCAGGAACAAGGTGATCGACACATTCAGGCACGAAAGATAGGCACCACAATAGTTCCAAAGCATTTCCCATCAAATCATGAACTTGAAGGTCCATCGTGGGCATACTAAAAGATTGTTCCTGTTGCCCATGATACCTTGAATGATATCCCATATTCAACGCCTTTTTGATATAAGAAAATGCGCCATTTTTTATAAGTGCCTTTTTATTTTCATCTGATCCAGCCAAATTCTGCAAGCCCGCGAACAGTTCATTAGCGCCATAACCATATTTGCAGGATTGTAGAGTTGTCGAGTCCAAAGCATCTTCCAATACTTTGCTTAGGTAAACAAAATATTTGTCGTTAGCGAGGAGAACATCGTTCTCGCTCTCGGAGACTAAGAATGAGAGTAAGAGTAAAACTGCGGTCAGCACTGAGAAATATTGAAGAAGGGGCTGTCCAATGGAGTCCGTATTCCAATCCGCATAAGATAGGAACCGCGACAATATCTGAGTTCCGTCGGCTTGTCGGTACCAAGACCTAATAGTGGGTACGCTTCTGACCAGATTATGAAGTATACCAATCGATGAGTGGACGATAAGTCGAGCGTTGCGTTCTTCCAAACAATGCGACGGATCGAATTGAGAGAGTCCGATCAATCTGAACAGCTCTCCATGTACATCTTTATTTATCAGTTTCAAGCATAGTGAATCTGCCTTGTCCGTTAGATTCCATACAACCACCTGAAGTTCAATGAAATTGTAGACAAACTGGTTGGCCGGTTGAGAAATACAGTCTGTTGGAGACTTTGTGTACAAAAGTCGGATGTAGTGTGCATAAAACTGTGAAAAATCTTCCGTGTCTATCAAGTTTACAAGCCACGGATCAAAGTTCCCGATTCCAGTCATGATACTGCTTTGGCTGCGTATATATTCCAAAAGCGCACGCACTTCTTCGCATTTGGATGTCTGGTAAGGATCACTTGACAGGTAGTGTAAGAATCGTTCGGACGTATCGCTGTGACAGAGCATCTGTGTGCGTAAGCGCAAAACTGACGAAGGATGTTCTCTCTTGTTAACCGACGTGGACAGTCGTGTGAATGCTGGCGTAGAAAGCGCACAACGAAGTTGTGGGAAATCTAGCAAAAGAAGAAAACTGGTCGTGAAGTTAAACATAACCATGGGAAATGCACCTAACGAGTTCAAAGCGTTTGGTCAATCCCAATCTAAATTTGTGTAGTAAACCCACTTAAACAAACAAGTTTCGCGGTGCGAGTTAGTGCTTATCTTTAATGGGAACGCTATTTTACGATATCTGCCCGTGACAGCTCCGGATTTGAGAACTTTTTCCACATAAAAGCTTGCGAACATGAACTAACTTGGCTCTTTCTCACGACAGGCTAGATTCATTGACATTCATTTCTTTAACGTACTACCAGTGCGTCGCCTATCATAAGGCGGAAGTCCTCGATATCATAAATTTCCGCGGCTCCCGTTTGTTTGACTGTTAGAATCAATATGATGATCCGCCCAAGGAGGCCAGAAAAAAAGGAAAAGCTGTTAGCTCCAACCCAGTCAGCTGCTTCGAGTTTTACGAATATGCTGTAATCCTTCTCTCTAAAGGCCCCCTCAAGAAACAAGTGCGTTTTTGTGAGATTCGAAACAGGCGCTTTTTGAGGGACCATTCCCCAATCAAACAAATTCTTTAACAAGAACGAGGCGAGTCCCCTCATAACATGGCATCGAGTGTGTATCAGACTACATGCATTACAGGACAGAGTGATTTCAAAGCGAGTATATCCTCAAACCATTATTAGGATTTGTACGATGGACAATCACTGCATGGGCTACAAAGGACAAAAAACAATCAGATGGCGTAATTGAACGCATCATCTGAAAAGAGTGTTTTGAGACATATTCTCCAAAAGCCAGCACAGAGAAATTCTATAAACTTTCGGGTTCTTGTAATGACAACAGCTGAGACCTCATTATCAGATAATTTGCTAATAATATTTTGGAAGAACTATTATCCAGCACGGACAGAAAATCATGCCTATGGGCCCACTGAATAATTAGGCCGACTACGTTATTTTTTGGGTTAATTCAGGTCTATTTTCAGGATGTTTTTGACGTTTGAATGGGGAAGGTTGAGTACGCTAGATAAGTTCATAAATGGTAGCTACGGTTCGACTAAAATTAAAGAACTAAACGACCCATTTCGGCATCATCGGTCCGATACGCAACCGTTTCTGGTTGAAACCTTAATTGTCACAAGGAAGTGAAGACAAGTTTCACCTGGCATCCAGAACCGAACGTAAGGGAACGTTGAATGCCACATTATCTGACTGATAACCAAGTCGATTACCGACAACATCCGAAATTATTCATAGAGGCAGCCAAATGTGGTCATTACTTCCACGGTATCAAGGTCCCAACGAATTAGGACGAATCTGAGTTGTAAGAAGTGCCTGTTTGTGGGATAGCGACAATCTATTTATTATCATCCTGGGCAGCAACACACCAGCGGCAAGTATTGCTGCTTAACTACCTTAGATTCCTCAGAAAAGGGCGCACTAAAATAGGCGTTGATCTCAAGGATAGTGAACGATACAGTATGCCCAACTTCAACCCCGTGGTGTCTGTTAACATCTTGGCGCATTATACAATCAATGAAAAGTTTTACATTAAAGAGGGCGTTGAGAGCCGTAACGAACGCCTAACGACAAGTCGGACGTCGGATTTTCTTAGTCAGACATACGGAAACACGCTATTGCATAAGACTTCAACCGTCTGAATTAGTTCATACACATACCGTCCGATTCCAATAGGTTCCACAGTTTCTCAGCTCACATAGTCGAACACCGACCAGAGATCGATGAAGCGAGTAATAGCTCGCTGTTCACACTTGTTTCACCACAATGGAACAAGGCGTACAGCTAAGATCTGGTCAGTGTAAACTCGACCTGAGCTGAAATCTTTTTGTTTTGGTTTGGTGTGGGGGGTGTCCTACACTAACATGGCGGTTCATAAGGGTGGGAAACAATTAAGGAGCCATATCCGGTATGCTTAGGTCAAGACAGCCGTCAAAAGCGATTTGTCACCTTCCATGAAAATGAAAAAGAGGTTTACCAACAGCATACAAACACTTCGCTGTTCCAAAATGGGTAGAACATCTAAGTGATGAGAACGGGAAGGGCCGTAGTTCATGCGGTATATAATGCTGCAGGGAGTCACCTCCAACAGGGGGTTCTCGGTTTTTCAGCCCACTGATGATTCTTAGCCTATCCATAGTTAGGTGACCTAATCCATTGTCCTCATCGTCGGCAGCACATCAGATTTCAACAGTGATGCCCAATGACGTACGATCGCAACTTATTTGAAATCCTAATTGTGAGCAAAATGGTAAGAGATTGGGAAACTATTTGGTACTGGCCTGCTACAGTCATTCCTAAATGCCTACACATCCATTCAGGCGATATGGACAGAAAACAACAATAAGAATACCACTGACGTTGACATGAAGCGTCTCCGGGCATGCATAGTGGGCATTAGGCGAGTTGCACTGACAGCACCCGGACTTTTCTTAATCGCCTTGTGACATCTATTTTAGGTTGAAGGCTGACCACCCCTCTAGTGGCGCCGCTCTGAACTGGGCACTCACTTCGGCATGCGCAAAACATGACCAAACCACCGTAAATTCTTCTAGTGACGTTCCTGTTGCACAAATAAATACTCAATCTAAGCGTCTCGTTGCGGATCCGTTGATGTCAGTTTACACAAGTCACGGTTCTAAGACAACGCTTATCAGGGACCCGGAGACATCCCCGTTGCGGTGCATTCAGAGGCCACGTTTCACAGATATCCGACAAAACGGCTTGTATGTCACACATGTCCCTTGAGACTCAGAAGCATTCTACTTTGCTGTCACAGGTGTGTTAAATCATGAAACGTGATCAAGACTCGCAGATTCGTGTTTTGACCTCATCTGTCAAACCATGGTCTGAGCTTGTACAACATCCAAGATATGTAAAGCGCTTTACAGCTTCGATTGCCTCTCTTTGGATTGTACGAAACGTATTCAGTGACCACATCTCCAGCGGCATGACTTTACACTGTATAGATGCAAACCGCATGCAAAAATAATTTTCCTCCTCTTCGAACATGAGAACGATGCCGTCTGCATATTCCAGATGGACGAGGTTCTCCTACTAGCAGCCACCTGAATGGTATGGTGTGAAGAACATTCAGCGTTCGTCTGATTATCTCGTCAAGTAGAAAACTGAGTAGAACGGAAACGTTAGACGCCACTTTTTTGTGGAACCTTTGGAAAGCTCCTCGTGAAATCTCACACGCTTGCAAGCATGAGGATACCCACATTGGCCAACTTCGGGGCATTATTTGCTGAGAAGGTGCGTTAAGGAGAACAGTCCGGCCAAAAAAGTCAAATGGAAATCCAGGAAGAACGATATTTTGCGTCCGTGTTGACCAACTGAAATGACCTCCAGGCATTCGTGGCATCCTTCTTCCGTTCTATTTCCTTAATCTCCCGTTCCTAAGTCTCCTTCAGCTGTAGAACCCTTTCGGCCCCTAACTATCATGAAACCTGGAGGAAGTACGAGAGCTGGGATACTGCCAGGTCGCCTAAGCTTGACAGGGGAAGTCGAGAAACAGAGGTCGGGTTCGAACCATGAACCTTCTGGTCAGCAAATTAGCACCCTAACCACTGAGCCATATCACTCCCCTTCCAGAGCTCATAGTCGATGTGCGTGCTGATTTTTACTTGACGTCTCGTAATTATGCCAAATCCAGTTGTGTCACGACCGGCACAAACATTTTTTCTGGGATTCAAGCAGTGCCGCCGCTCCGTCTGGTATCTAGTGCTTGATTAAACCTGGTGGTGCCGTAACACGGTCAAGACTCACGGTAATTTACAAAGATGTGCCCATGATGTTTCCGTCAGAATCGACACCTGACAGCAGAGCGTTTGTAATGGTCCAAATGGTTCTAACGATTCGTTAGAACCAGTCAAACGAATTGACTAGCAGTCGTTCAGCCGCCAACGAAAGTACTTGCCGCATGTGCTGCCCTGCAAAACGAACAGCGAGACGGCTCCCAACGACCGCATGGCCAGAATCTACGTGTTCTAAAAGTATGATGCTGCATATTACGTTTAGATCCAAACACTACTGAGAACCAACTGTTATCGTAAGGTCGGGGGCGCACTAGACGCTAACAAAAGAACCTGATACGTCGGACCTATTTAGTCCAACTCATAGAAACAAAGAAGGTAGATGTTCCCGGATGCCAACCTTCCAAGCAACGCTTTTAAATGGATGCATAAAGCGGACAAAACTATGTACAACATATCATAATAACAACAGTGAGCAACGCATGTTCCACGAAAATCTCAGAAATAGAGAAAGTCACAGAGCTATGATCATGGAAACTGGATCGAGTAGAGCAACCTTTGGTGCATAATATTCGCGTTGACGCAGTTTGAGTGTAGGAACTTTGGCGATCAGTCACAGGATCCACTATAACAAGTAGCTCGAGCTGTCCATTAACAATGAGCAAAATAACATTGCTAAATCCACGAGTATCATTCAACGCCCGCCGTCTGTGTCCAATTGGCAACCCGACAGTCTGTAAAGACCTTATATTCCCTTACGATTGGTGTATGCTGTGTCACTGAAACACACAAATAAGACTCAGGCGTTTAAAACGCCAAGGATGAACTCAGCTCTTCCATATCTTACTGCCCGTTTCCTGTGTCCCAGAAGCGATGACTTGTGGAATATACCGTGTGGTAGCAGCACTCAATCCCGGAGCTGCACGTGCTTTACTGGATTGGGTACCAGGGAACAGTCGTTCTTGCACCGCTCGGTTATCCAGATCAATCAAGCCCAACGCTACTCAACATAAACCGGTGCCTGGTTTTAATGTAGGCACACCCTCCAGCGGAATGCAGCTGTAGAGATTTATATGGTTCCATTCGTCAAGCAGGAAGCATTGACATATTATTCCTGCGGGAGATACGAATGCTCAAGCCGGTCATCTCAGCTACTTTGAATCCGATCTGAACGGCTGGTTCGTAGTCCATACTCGTCACATAGACAAGGAAAATCGACTCCTCCAGTCATGTGCTGATCATCAACGGCTTCAGGTCAGCATGAATTTTCAACGTAAACGCTTGCACCACATAACCTGATGACCCCAAGTGCAATTCAACCAAGGACCCTATTGGATTACCTGGCTATCGGCAACCAGTAGTGACCCGCAATTCAAGACTATCGTTTCTGGTGCAAACAACTTGATTCCGATCACGCCATAGTGCAAGCAAGCCTGATAGTTCGATTTTCTTGAGGCCCTCAAAGGCCAGCATACCGACTCACCATCTCCGGAGAACCATCATAGCTCGGCAGTGCCGACGTAAACCACTTCAACTACTCAATACAATAAACCAACACTTTAATGGAAGCACGTGGATGAAGCATAGCAAAATGTGAAAGCTTATGTGCTAGCGGCGTTCAGTGTTGTCTCCCAACCTCTCCGATACGATAAAATGATCACAATATCAAAACAAAATCAAATATCAGATGATCGTCGAAGTCGTTAGTTCCGATTGATGCTAAGAAATTTGTACCAGAAGGCGACGAGCATGATGGCGCAGGCGAATCCTTCAAACGCCAACTACTGAAGAGTCTAACGAAAGACCAAGAGCACTGGTGAACAGTGAAGACCTAAGAGACAAGGAAGGCTTCAGCCACCAGAAACAGTTGTGCCTTATACCACCCAACTCCATCGATTAGCCAAACGAGGGCAACCGTCACTTATGTGATAAGGGAGAATGACAGCTCATTAATCCGTTTGGATTGGAAAGATCATCCGGGGCTTTCAGAGACAACTTTAGCTGGCCCCTGCAACACAACCTCTGAAGATAGTGCGTGGGAGAGAATGGGGTATAAATCCCAATTACTCGTCTCCTTGGATGGTGGCTCCGAGAAAGGACATATTAACGGTTAGCAGCACTGTCAGACATGGCCAGGTCGCGGCGCTCGTGCATCCAGGCTATCGCCCTCAGTGCATACCTCCTTTCCCAATCTCCCCAATTAAGTTCACTGACAACCCTGTATTCAACTCCAGCCTCCAATGCGCAGCTACGTACCCAACCTGACCAAATCATCGGTGAACGAAAATGCGGCAGATATAACCACTGTACGACAAGTATGCGGTTCTTACAGCTGATTATGACGACGATCGCTTCTCAGACGTAAGGAGTCACCAAGACCGGTCTGTATCCACTCACCTTCAAAGAAGGCGGAAAACCCTAATTGCAAATCTGACAAAACTCATTGGTGCCATATGGGATGAGGGGTACCTGCACAATGCACAGCAGTCAGTCGTGTCTTCGAGGAAGACAGTGTGTGAAAATCACCGTAGTATTAGCCTAGTAGCTACGGCATCGAAGATGCTCTCTGTGTTATACGTCAAAAGCTGACTAAGCACATAAGGAGACAGATCGGTTGAAACTAAGCTAGGCTCCGTCCTAAAGGGGGATACATAATTTACATCTGACGGCTTCTGAAACGGCAAAACTGGTTGCAGCGACGTAATGGTGGTGATCCTTGACTCTCTGGATAATAAGGCAGTATGGGAGTGTATATAGAAAAATGTTTTCCCGAAAAATTCCTTGCTCCTCGGAGCACTACACTCTGCTATGCGAGGATGCATGGAGATCTATGAGAAGACCTCGCCTGAATTCACTACATCAAGTGTTCTCAGGTGAGATAGGTAACAGTCCTGCTTTACCTTACCCGTTTTACTTCGTCGTTCAGCTTGAGATGCTGAGACAGCTTTGTGGTTGGTGCGCCAGCTTTCGGACAGGAAGGCCTATGGTTCAAGCCCAATCTCACCATCTCCATTACTCCTGTCTACGCTTAGACAACTTGGTAGTATCACAGCCCTCGTGCCTTCTTCCGTTGCATGGCAGCTAGGTACCGAAAGGGTGTCACAGAAGGAGGATTTTTTCCATACGAAAGATTTACTCCCAGCCTCTGATGCCTGAGGTCAAAATGCTCCCAGAGCGTTCGCTCACAGATATCGAGTAAGCAAACGGCACGGCTTCTCTTGGATCAAATACCATCGCAATGTACGTGATAGTAACTATTTTAAATAACTCTGCCTCACGATTTCGCATAAGCTTCACAACTGCAAAGTGAAGAGTGGTGCTGCGAGATTGGGTGGACTCGAACGCGCTCGCGAGTGAACCTACTGAGGCAATACACGAAATCTGTCAGTACAGGATGTCTATCCAAAGACGATGTTTGCATCGGGATTAGGAACACTAGAGCAATTCCTTATAAACTTGCATCACCCGTGACGCAGACGTGACACCAGCCCGTCTGTCAAGAGTTGAGTTTATAAGACTGCGTCATTTTATTATTCGGGTCAGAAGCCTGGTCTCTGCAGTCTGACGACGTTGAAAATCTTTCAGTATTTCACCGCCCAGTGGTGAAGACACTGCAGTGTCTTCGGTGCACTGCCCGATTTTGGTGGGAACACCGGACCGATAACTCTGAAGTAATTTGAGTAGTCTCCAGAAGAACCGTCTCACTCACAATAGATGTACCGATCAAATTCGATAGGTTGTGCTGGCTTGGTCACGTGCGCGTATGTTGGTCGACCGACTTCCTCGAAGAGCCTTTTTCGCAAAACCAAGTGAAGCGTAGAAACCGGCAGGCGAAGTGTGGAAGCCATTACCAATAAACACAGCTGCGCTGGTTATTGCCGGCTTTCTGGATGGGGACCCATAGCGGGACACATCAATGTTTAGAGACGTTAACCCAGTAAACACGCCACCGGTGGTACCATATCTATTAATATATACGACCCTGTTGCTCGCCCAATTGCGCACATGAATCCAAACTGCCGCCTTTACTGCATAGCTTTTCATTCCGGTCTTCTCAATCTTAAGTCCAATGACATGACAAGAACAAGCGGACCCGGGAACCTTGCGAGAAAGCCTCGATCCTGTGAATCCGTGACACTCCAGCATTCACCCATCAACTGTATCACCTATCACCTACATTGTGCAGCTATCAACTCTTACCTCCCGAAATCACCGGCGTAACTGTAGTATCTCCAACCACTGTACAACATGTGTTAGGCGGGACTTCGCAGCGATATTGTCGCACCACTCGCAGGTATGTACTGCCACTGCCCAAAGTCCTATCCCGAACCCGATTGGCTAAATGAACGGAAAGCTAGCCTGTCCTGGATCAAGCTGAAATCTGATTGGCCGGATGCGTGAATCTAACAGCCAATCATGATGCAGTATCCTCTGGGTGGAGGTTGCAGATGCCACATCTAGGAATCGGAATTTCCAGAAGGATGCTGTCACGTACGCTTTACATACGACGCGCGCCTCTCTGACGTGGTTTCGAGCGTTACTACACCTTGTGCCCTTTTGTTGGTTGTCTTGATGGTAACGCTAGCTTGGAAGGTTCATACCAAGAACCAAGAGAAGTCACCGTTATTACAATTGGCGAAAGGAAACACACGACGTCTGTCGAATTAACTCAGCTCTGATAAGAATTATAAAAGCATAAAAGCAGTGTGAAGAAGCGTATTTGGAGCTTACTGAATGACTGACTCAGTGACTGCTAGCAGCCGACACCACTGGTTTCGCAGTTTCTTCAGCTGATGCAGCCCAGTCTCTTTCATGAAGATTGCATTCGACCTTTTTCTGATCACACTTTTGATGCCTGGATCAGGTGGTAGGAAAGCATGTTAAAGAATGACTCTCAGTTTTGATGCCGGGTGGAAATTTGGATTATTGCTGCGAAATATCGGTACACCGGAACACAAACTATATACAAACTTCATTCTCTTAATGCTGTCCACGACCGCAGCCTTGCTCAAGCGGTCAGAAGACTGCCCCACACACCACTCGGTGTTCGATCAAACGCATGCGATCAAAAACTTGCCTCGTTTTTTCCGGTGTATGCGTCAATAATGCTCGAAATTTTCGTGGCCACAAAGGAAATTTATATCGATCCCAGACGCCGCAGCCCATCAAAGTACAGCTCATGAATCGTCACCCAAATCGGTGACGGCAGCATTCACAGTTGCTTTCGCTTGCCGAAGGGAGTTTGTGGTGGCTTGTAACAACAAAGCAACGGTTCGTTTGCAGCTTGATGTTGGCTCCGAAATCATTCTCTTCAGTGAATAAACGTGAGAACAAACCGATAAGCCATGTGTGAGACCGGCTGAGCACTAAGGCCGTAATTACTCTGGTGGTATGCTGAAACTGGCCGCTGCATAGGCCCTCATGAACTGAAGGCACAAGCCGCTTGCTGCCTGATGTCTGTGGCGTTTTGCATCCTTCTTTTGCTTTCACTATGACATTACGTATTTTGCCAATTGTACGAACGTTTTTTGTTCAAATGCGGATAATTACAAAAAAATTACACTTGTACAATTTCGCGCAATACAACCATGGTCACGTGCTCTGTCCCTCTCTCCTGATTTCTCTCGCGCTTACGCTGGTCATTCACGAGTTTCGTGTGCTGATTATCGCATCAAAACACTTAAGACCATCTTCGGAGTTTATTAGATGCGAGCACTGTTCAAAAGAATACCCCTGGACAGCCAACATTGGATTATTATTTGTTCCCTCGCCTGGGCCGACGACGAACTATTTTGAGGAGAACAACTCTAAGTGGGTCTGTTCCATCTGACCTCCCTTACTGTATACTCAATCTTTGCCACACGCGCCTGATAAAGTAGCTTTCCAGTAGGCATCATTCCTCAGGCTTAATCTCATTGGGCTGGATTGGAGTGATAAGCTGAACCTACAGAAGATGATGACTGGTCCTGCTTACAACCGCGTGCACGTAGCACCCACGGGTGCTCTCGAGCACACCCATTTCCCGAAGCGTTCACTTGATGACGTCTTACTACGCTGTGTTGATGATGCACGCAGGCGGGAGCCCGACTTGTTCGCAAAACCCAATTGTGGTAAGTGTTTTGTGAGGTTTGCATTGGCTTATTCTGACCTCCAGGCTGAGTTCGGGAAAGTATCCCGAAAACTTTTGACCATCAATGTCAATATGCAACAAGTTCTGTTCCAATGCACAAGATTTTTTGGTGTCAGGACAGCTCCAGGATTATTCCAACGATGATGAGGGATGTCCCCGGCATTTTCGCTTATTAGGCGGATCTTATCGCCATGGGTTTCGAATTCGAAGGACTGTGACAGCACCTTGGCTACGTGCCTGATCATATTCAGGGAGTGTCGTGGAAAATACATCTTCATTATGCGGTTGAAAAAGTACATTACTGACGAACACGGCCGCTGGCCTGACCCGGAGCACCCCGACAGCATCCAAACTACACCGGCGCCCACAGAGGTGAAATCTCCCGGACCCATCCTCGGTCTCGCCGTTCACCACATCTTGTCTCTGCCTGCCATGCATCACCTCAGAGGTCCAATAAACCAGTTACTTTCCAGCGCACGCGTCCAGGAAAATACCAAAGCGTCTTTGACTCTATCACATCTATGCTGAGTTCCGAATGGCTTCTTACGCACTGCGACAGGTCACTGGAAATAATTGTGGTGTCAGAGTCTTCGAACTATGGTAACAGAGCGGTAATTTCACATTCCAGATAACAGCCAGTTAGACACTGCACATGGCCAGATCCATGACACCAGCCCAGCACAGCTACACAGATGAGCTTTGGCGAATGCGTTTGCCTCCAATTTCTATTTAGGTGCTTTACGGTTATCGGTTTACCTTACCGACAGATCACAAGGCGCTCCTTATTACGTTCGGCTTAAAGAAGGGGATTTCGACTGTACTGCCAACCGCTTCCAGCAGTGGGTTACTCTTCTTCTGGGATACGACATCAAGATCCAGTACCATGATACCACCGGTCTCGAACGATCCGTCGCACTGTCTCATATCGTTGGTTCAAGCGGGCCAGAATCAGATGACACTGTAGTTAAATGAATTTTCTTAGAACTTGGAGCGAGGCGCGTAGTGTCGGCGATGGTTTGCATCCTCTCGGTAACTGCTAACATGACCCACAATGCTACCGCGCAGAACTTTGTACTGCAGTGGGTACTCAAGCACCGCCGGAATCAGTGGTCGCGCAATTGCCCAAAGGACGAACTAGAACTTTGTTTCAACTGACGTGACGCAGTATCAATTGCTGATGCACGACGTTCACAACAGTTTGTTCTCACAGACGAGTTACAACCAGCCGTACCGGACGGATTTCACAAAGGGTACCCATAAAAAAACAAATGGAGGCCCTTGTTTGGAGTTACTTTTAATGGCCCCTGATGGGCCCCCAGAGCGAGCAAGTCTCCAAAAATTACATGCGGTGCGGTAAAGTATTCAAGTCACCGGTGAAATCCTGCCTACGGTCATGACAGCTGCCGGTTGATCCCTAATCTCGTTTTCATGCAGGCTATGCAGGCTTATTAGTTGGGCAAAATTATTTGGACGGAATCAACGCTCACAGCAGTTGCCTGGAAATTCTCCTAGTGAACAGCCTCACGACTGACGCTAGAGAACACCAATCAGATTTCGGTCACCTTGGAACGCCAAAGACCATTGTATCCAAGACCGCCAATCAGCCAACGTCGTGAGTAAGCCATAACCCGTGTCCGCTTCCCGCCATTTCATGTACAGTTGAAAAGCTGGGCGGGACGCTTTGCCGATACTTTAAATTGTACACTTTAGACGTCCAAATTTGTGACCTACGGAGATGGTTTTTTAGTTTTCTGCCGGCCCATCAAGTTGCACTTAAGCTCGACTCGTCTGATGGAGCATCACCAGCAGATGCATTGCTCTGACGTGAGCTTAAAAAAACGTCTAACACTATTCGATCACGTGGCAGGCAGCTGAGCCACTGCAACAGGAGAATATGGAAAATATTTAGCAGTAATCATGGCGCAACTCTGTGTTCCTTTAGCGAACGCGAGGGAGTCTGAGTCCGCGACTACAGCTGTAGACATCTTAAGTGATTCTGGGACACCCTTCGTCAGGGAGGTAAAGCGGTCCGCAAGGTTTAAGTCGGCCCAGCCAGGTGGACTTGACGCATGATCCAAATTCAGCCGACAAACTTGTATATACTGCCCACCGGACCCAGAGTATTAAGTCTAGAGTTGCGTCTGGACACTTTTGACCTCGGCACCATTGGGGGAAGCCCATCGGCTGCATGGTCGAAGGCCTATCCCAAGCGTGCATTACGACTGCGTGGTTCGACCCATTGGATCAGCAAGCAACTGAGGCAATCGGAAGTAACTCCCGAGTCCAAAGTTCAGTCGGCATATTCCGGAGGGGAAGTTTATGGCACAGTTTTGCATCAGTGTCACTTTACCGTTGGTGTTTAGGCACTGCCTCTGCCAAAAGCCTATCCTGCACCCGATCGGATAAATAAACCGGCCACTTGCTTGAGCAGCCTTACGGCGAGATCATACTGGCCAAACGTCGAAACCCAACAACGAATCACGATCCGATGTCTGCTGAGTGCCGGTTGCCAATGCTGCAGCTAGATGAAGTCAAAATTCCCAGAATGCTTGCATCTCATACACTGTGTATATGACGCGCTGTATGTGGGTTTCTGACGTGGTTTCCAGCACCAATATAGATTGTTCCTCTTTAGTGACTGTTTTGACGGGACAGCCGGCTTAGAAAGTTCAGGTATAGAGTTAGGCTTAAAAACTGCCGTTACTGCAGCAAGTGCGTGGCTCTCACACTTGTGGATGGTGATAAGAGCTGAATCGCTGCCACCCCGGTGGCTTCTCTCCACGCATTGTTCGCAACAAATCAGTATGATAATAAAAGTGCTAAAGGTGATGCTCGCTTTAACACTATTCTGGTGGCTATTTACCTTGCCATCCGCAGGAATCACGAGGGATGAGCTACTACTATTTGCTCAGGCCTGGCCTGAAGCAGGCGGGGTTTTGGGGTTGAGTTTAAACCATAAACCATCCGGTCAGCAATTGTGTGCCACAAACTGTTAGTTCTCTCGAATTCAAAAAATGGGCTAGAATATACATAATCCAATATAGAAACGAGTGAATTTACTGTTTTCGATTTTAATATAGTTGGCTATAGCTGGTCCGAGTGCCAGCCTGGGCCTGTACTTGATTGGATCGATCCCCAAGCCTTTATACAGAACTTCAGCATTTGATGACATTTATTCGAAACCT